TTTGTTTCAACAAGCTCTTTTACAGCATCATTGAATAATTATGTGTGATACAGTTTCCTAATAAATGTAAAAGATGACCCATGTGATCTCTGCACACGTACATCCGATTTATGTATCACGTGCAGGGTGAAATAAAAATGAAGGTTCCATCGAGATTTGAACTCGGATCGCTGGATTCAGAGTGCTAACCGTTACACCATGGAACCCGATCTTCCCATGCCGGGAATCGAACCCGGGCCGCCTGGGTGAGAGCCAGGAATCCTGACCACTAGACCACATGGGAGCCGAAGAAACCACTATTAAAGTCACTTTTGTTTGGGAGGAGATTAAATATCTTTGGGAGTTTCCACGTATACTGAAATGAATTTGATCAGTTGTTAAAAGACACTCGATTCGGTAATCATCAATTAAACACTTTTCACTGTTAACAATTACTTTGAAATAACTTTGTACCAATGTTTCATTGTGTGATACAACATACTATTTTGCATCGAATTATTTTCTCTTAATGATTTTAGATGTTATTTAAAATTATGGAAAAAGCAATTTCGATTGAGAGAACTCCCGAACTTTTTATTTTTCGCTGGAAAAAGATTACTCTCTTTATATATGGGAATCGATGTTACCGTCAAGAGGATGCCAATATTCTGGGAGAGCGTTAACTTTTCTATAATTTTTTTTTATTATTACAGTCCTGAGAGGAGCATTTTGCAGTTGAAGTACTTTAAGGATAAAAAAAAACGTAATTTGAGAGAAAACACGGCACTCGGATTTTAAAAATTTATGTCCATGTCAAAATACTTCATTTCGCTTTTTTAATAATTTTCAAGCGTATTTTATTTCAATTTTTACGGATCGCTGATTACACACAAGCTCTGTTTTCATATTACACGGTATGCATTACAATTCTCATGAGGAATTAAAATGACGGAAATTCTTAGTATTGAAAAGAATATCTTGGATAAACACTTTCTCTTGGGTTTCTGAATCGCTTTAATTCCTGAAAGACATGACAGAGGAAAAACATTGCCCCGGGTGAGGATCGAACTCACGACCTTCAGATGCCTCTGAATAGAGATTATGAGACTGACGCGCTGCCTACTGCGCTACCGAGGCTTGCAGAGCCAGTTATTGTTTACTTAGAACTGATATGTAGTTGACACTTACTATTTATCTCACATTTTAACGTGCTTAGAAACAACATATCTTCGGATTTCATTCATATATTTTTTTACATTAAAATCGTTTTTAAAATAAGTCCGAGGACTGTGAGCGAGGGAGCTCCTTATTTGTTTTATATCCTATAGTCGAGGTGTGTTTAATAAAAGGATATTATACGAGAATAGCAATAAACACGCTAGCGTGGTAGTTAGGCAGAGCATATCGTTTTATCGTCTAATTTAAATCCATTTAAGGATTTGGTGCTCGAAATGAAATGTTCTAAAACTTAAAAGATTCTGGTGTATTGTTTAAAAAGCGCTGGAATGCTTTTCTAGTAAGAGGGTTAATAGTTGTTAATTAAACGATGGGAAAAGTAATGAAAGAACATTCGAGTATGTTTACTAAAAGCCTTTTTTAAAGCATCAATGGATTAAAACGAAATAGGTAATCCTTAAAACACGTTGAAATTCCCGCGAAATCGAAACAGAATATTTAATCCTATTTTATAAAGAAAAAGGTTCCACCGAGATTTGAACTCGGATCGCTGGATTCAAAGTCCAGAGTGCTCACCATTACACCATGGAACCCGAAATTCCCATGCCGGGAATCGAACCCGGGCCGCCTGGGTGAAAGCCAGGAATCCTAACCACTAGACCACATGGGACTTGCAGGATGCGAGGTCTTCGACACTGTTCTTTATTTAACAAGACTCTAGTATCGAAGCATTTTTTAATGTTTAGAAATTTTTAATAATTCTTAAATTACTGAAGTAGGTTTCTCTTGATTATCATCTATCGATTCATCTTCCGAATTGTGTCGGAACTGCCATTTTACAGGCGCTTGAATTTATTGCTTTGTGCTTCTGAAATCGATTTAAAATTACAGGAAAGGCTATTGTTTTCCCTGATAAACTTTGAGGTCGAACAATTAAAAATCATTTCGCTGGGGGAAGATCGATCTTGAGACATCTGTGACTGCCTATTACGAAACTGACGTGCTGCCGAATGCGTTACCGAAGCCCTCTCGATAGAGCATTTGTTTACTAGGAGCTGACAATATCCACTGATAAATTTGAGTAAAACTTCAGTGTTCTTATAAGGATCCCACTCTCCACATGTGCGTGTGTTTCGTTGCGGAGAAATATCACAGGGTTTAATCGGATAAAGGAAAATTGAAAAGTTGGGATGGTAGTTGAATGTTTCGTTCCATGGAAGTCTTTTATGGATAAATATAGTTTTGAAGATTCATTCAAAATCTTCCAAAACTTTATTTTATTTGATGCACTCCTGAATGAATGATTTTCTTCTTCATTTTAAAATATTGCAATACTAATAGTTAATAAGTCGCCGTCTTTCAGGGAATATGAGCCAACAAGCTCTTTTACAGCATCATTGAATAATTATGTGTGATACAGTTTCCTAATAAATGTAAAAGATGACCCATGTGATCTCTGCACACGTACATCCGATTTATGTATCACGTGCAGGGTGAAATAAAAATGAAGGTTCCATCGAGATTTGAACTCGGATCGCTGGATTCAGAGTGCTAACCGTTACACCATGGAACCCGATCTTCCCATGCCGGGAATCACACCTGGGCCGCCTGGGTGAGAGCCAGGAATCCTGACCTCTAGAACACATGGAAGCCGAAGAAACCACTTCAAAATCATTTTTGTTTGGGAGGAGATTAAATTTCTTTGGGAGTTTCCACGTATACTGAAATGAATTTGATCAATTGTTAAAAGACACTCGATTCGGTAATCATCATTTAAACACTTTTCATTGTTAAAATTTACTTTGAAATAACTTTGTATCAGTGTTTCAATATGTGATACAACATACTATTTTACATCGAATCATTTTCATTTAATAATTTTAGGTGTTACAAAGAAAGCGACAGCTATACCATATTTCTGAGATATTTTCTATTAGGAAGTATGTTAAATTAATATTAAATTACGAGCTCCTGTAATCTCATGACTATATTCTTTGAGAATGCGATAGTTCAATCATAAACTCGTAATAATTTATTCGTTTTTCGCTTTTATATATATATATATATATATATATATATATATATATATATACACAATACACACACATTTAGATGTGAAATCCTATGTCTTAGTGTTCAGACTTTATCTGTGGTCTCATTATTGCAACTTACATATTTAACTGCAACATCGAACCTATGTAATAAAAATAATGCCTCTTGTTTTCAAAATTATTCGACGAAATAAGCAAAAGAAAGAAAACTTTATGAACAGTATATTGAACATTATACTAAACAATTTATTTTTTAAATTAACGCCCTGTCAATGCTGAATAAAATCAATGTACTACAAATATTTTGATTTGACATTTTAACAAACAACATGAAACAATATTAAAGTTACTGGTGAAGGATTTCATAAATTTCAATGACGGTCAAGCATTGAGGACAGCACTCACTCACCAAACTTCCACATCACACTACACCAGGACTTAGAACCTAGACAGGATTAACAGCCAGTTTTCAACTGAACAGGACTTGAAACTCAACAACTCAATCCCGCTACGAGTTTGCGACCTCACTGTTCGGCTACAGTGGCCCTTTTGTGATTAAATATTATCAAAATTGAGAATTAAAAATTGAATTTATTGCCTTGTGCTTCTGAAATCGATTTAATATTATAGGAAAGGCTATTGTTTTCCCTGATAAACTGGGAGGTCGAACAATTAAAAAACATTTCGCTGGGGGAAGATCGATTTTGAGACATCTGTGTCTAGAGTATGTTTACTAAAAGCCTTTTTTAAAACACCAATGAATTAAAACGATATAAGTAATCCTTAAAACACATTGAATTTCCAGCGAAATCGAAACAGAATATTTAATTATATTTTATAAAGAATAAAGGTTCCACCGAGATTTGAACTAGGGTCGCTGGATTCAGAGTCGAGAGTGCTCACTATTACACCATTGAACCGGAAATTCCCTTTCGTTAATGAAATGCATTAGGGTATTTGAAAGAAAAAGTTTTTGTTTTCGTTGTTTAAATCCATTTTATTTTTTGGTTGACACTTAATGGATGCATCACAGTAATATTTATAAGAAATACACATAAGATATTTTCATACACTAAACACAAACACTAGCACAACAACATCTAAAGGAGGGGAACAAGTCTATCTTTCTCAACGGAACCTCAGATGGCTTTAGCATTCCCGTTAAAGTTACACTATGTGGATCTTTAAAGTATTCCTTTTCTGGCCCTTACACCACCTCGAGAAGGATCAGTGAGAGTCTTTATTATCCTGTCTCTTTTACTAAGTGGATTTAGAAACTTAGTTAATCGACCTTGATATGGACGTAATGCGGAAGTGTGATAATCCCCGAATAGGAATATCAGAAACCTCAGGATTGCTCACTTTAGCTTTTGTAGGAGATCGTACGGTGGTGGAGTAGTTTTTATCAGCAACAGTTAACAGCCTACTTGCATATTCTATAGGATGCTCTTTCTAGGCTTTACCTTGCAAACGGACAGCTCCTAGGACAGCATCAGTGCGAAGAATGTAAGGTTTTGGGGCATCTGTCTGTTTCAAAACGGGAGGGCTGGTTAGAAGTTTTTTTAAAGTTAGAAAAGAATTTTCTTCTTCATCTCCTTTGACCAAGCTTGACTTTTCTTTGTGAGATTGCTGAGAGGTCTGGCTACCCCTAAGAAATTAGGAATAAATCTTCTGTACCTCTAACAGGTTTGCAGGAATAACTGTACCTGCTTTAAATTCTTCTGAGGAAGTATTTCCCTGATAGTAGAGGTTTTTCCAGGGTCCTCTTTTACTCCTGAATTTGTGATATAGTTCCTAGATATTTCACTTTATCACAAGCAAAATTACATTTACTTCGATTTGCATTTAGTTAAAATAGCAAAAGTCATTCAAATGTAACTTTGAGACAATCGAGTTAAGAAAAAATAAGAATATTATTTAGGCCATTGAGTAACTTTTCAATCAGTCTCTAAAATGTATCTGAGGCCGTTTTCAAGCCAAAAGGCATACGAAGGTAGCTAAAAGTTTCAAATGGACATACAAATGCTGTTTTGTCTCTGTCAGAAACACAGATATTCACCTGGTGGTAACCTTATAGTAAATCTATAGTTGTCATAAGAGGTATATGCTTCCCCTCGGGAAGTAGGTCATTCATTCTAGGTAATGGATAAGAGCCAGTCACTGTCTTAGCATTAAGACCTTTATAATCGATGCAAAGACGGATTTTCCCGTTTGTTTTAGGAACGAGCACCACAGGCGCAGCATACGGGGAATCACACTCTTCTATGACATTCTGTTCCGAAAGTTTATCAAGTTCTTTCTTTAGTAGCTCTTTCATTGCTGGTGGTAACCTATAGGGAGTCACAGAAACAGGAGGACTGTCTCCAGGGTTGATGCGGTGTTCCATGAAGGGAGTGGGCTCTCCCTCTAGTTCAAAGGCAGTTTCATACATCTTGGATTATTACTTCTTTTACAAAATCATACGTTCGATGGGGGTAAGTCAGTAAAGAACAAGTTGTGGTGTTTCATGTTCAGAACAATGACCACTTTTTGTAAAAAGTTGATCCCCAATGGTGCTTGGTTTTCTTTAGCATAAGACAAAGTTATTAGTGGTGTTCGGATGACACGTCCTTCAAGTCTGATAAATACTCTGGTTGTGTAGACTTCCAACATGGACTTGTGGCCGTCAGCAAGGGACATAAAGAATCGAGTCTTCTGAAAGTTATTTCCTTCTCTCCATAAAAGGAGGTATAAGGTTTCTCCAGCAATGGTGTGATTAGTTACGATATCAGCGCATTTACTGAGTCCTTATTTGCTGTTTGTTCGCAATTTAGATATCTGGGTTTCGTAACACCTGGCATACCATATCCATAACACGATACCGATGGTCACTCTGATATGTCATTAGTTTACAATTTATCACCTCTACTGAAAGATGATGTAGAACCGGCTTGGTTGGTTTTGTCAAATCTGCTATCAGGTGAGCTTCTTTTCAGAGTAAGATTTAGAAGGGTATTCTCTTGAATGGGCCATCTTCTTTACTGATGGAGTAATATTTCGAATGCTGCAATATACATCTAGTTTATCTGTTAATTCAGAAGGTCACATCCACTGAGACCAGTCATCTAAGAAATGGTCTCTCACTTTGGGAATTTAATGCCTTTTAATATGATCACAAACGATTAAATCCTTTAATTGGTTGAAGTTTACGATTTTCAGTTCGTTTAACGATCCTTCGAAATAACTTTTTATATTTTAAAATAATAATCTCTCGAATTGGTCTCTTGTACTTTCTTATGTTTCTGAATTTTTCCGCAGAGAGCTTGAATCTCCTCAAAAGCAATTCTTTGACATGCGCATAGTCCTGTTCTTTTTCTTCCGTTTCCCTAGAGAGGAGTATAACTATGTCACTTGGTAAGGCTATCAGGTACTTTTAAAAATTTCAGCTGTCTCTCAAACAGTTTGAGAAATATCGCCATGTCATTTTCTTTTAAGTTAAAACAGGGAATCAGTTTCTTCAATTCTAATTTCGGCTACTCTGAATTCTCAGACTTACCTTGCAGAACTCCATTTTCTTTAGCATCTAGCTTCAGTTTCAACTTCTGCAACTCAAAATGCATTTCAGCCTTTCATCTTTCCTATTTTGTCTATAATTCAGCTTTCTTTCTTATTCTGTCTCTAATCCAGCTTTCCTTTTTTCCTCTTCTGCCATCTGCTCGGCTTCATTATTTTTCTCAAGCCATTCCTCAATTATAATTATGAGCAAATTCTTAGTTGAATTTTTTTCATAATTTTTGGAATTTAAGATAAGTTGTTTCATATTAAAAATTCGTAAATCTTCTGCAACAACGAGTCCCATTTCCCAAGCCAATCTCCTCAAATGCTTTTCCTTTCCCTTTGTGAGAAAAGTCATGGCTTTCTGTTATTGATTTCAATTTGTGATAAAAAGTAAAAATTTCTTCTTTTTAATAAAAATAACTATTTTAACACACTGAATTTTAAAATTAAAACACAGAGAACATTCAACATAGAAAAACTCAATAGAAAATATGAGTTATGAAATCAATTTGAACATTAAATGAATAATTAGTGCCCTGGGAAAGAAGCAGAAACCATGGATTAATAAGAGATAAGAAGAGGGGAAATTTGGAACAATTGATGAATTTTCTTCATCAGGTGAAGAAATGGTAAATCTTGCACGAACTGGTTTTGCATCCCACCAGAATCATGGAAGGAAGGAATTTCAAAATGAACAGTTAAAACATTCCGGCGAGTCCTCAACAGCATGTGCTTTAGAAATCTTCAAAAAGCAGGTAAGAAAGATCATTGTATTTTTTGTGATAAATCGCATCCTATTGATAGATGTTTTTCGGCCAAGAAAATGACTTTAACTTTTAAATAAAAATTACTCTTAGAAAATGGTGCATGTTTTTCTTGTTTAAATATAGATGGTCATATAAGTAAATTTTACAATGTAAAAAATCAATTGAAGTGTTCAACCTCAATGTAATAACCAATTAATGTGTCCGGAACTAAGAAAAAACAATGAACCAAAAGTTGTTTTCCGAAATCTGAGAATTCCCTTTCTAATTGTAGCAGAAGTGAAACTGTCTTTTTGCA